TACAGCCTCGCTTGGTGGGGCCTGGGGTCTCCTACTTGGCTCTGTGATGTGGCGTCGGAGTCTTTGCTTTTGTCACCTGGGAATTCTCCCATTTCACTATTTTGTGCTCATAACCTGACTAGCGTCTCCTTCCCCGCCAGTGGTCTGTGTCCCTGATTATGAGGAGTGGGACCTATGGGCCCCTTTCTCCTCCTCATCCCCTCAGTTTTCTCCTGGGTCACGTAGAGGGTGGAGGCTTGCTTGTTGGCCTCCTAGCCTTCCAGCAAGATGGGGAGAGGTGTGAAGTGGCCGTTTGGGGTGGGGCTGGCATTGGTGAGCCCCCCAAAATGGCCTGTGTCTGGTGCTGGCTCAGCATGTCCGCAGTCCGGGAGGCTGAGCCAGGTTGATATGGGAGTGAGGGGACCGGCAGGTAGACAGTGGAGCAGAGTCATTAGAGGAACGAGCAGACCAAGGGCCCCCACCATCTGCAGGTCAAGGCCGGAGTGATGCTTTTCCCTTCCAGCCACACCTGCCTTTCATCCCTCCAGGCCTCCGGGAGGGCTGGCAACTAGACAGCTATGGAATAAAATGCTCAGTGACCAAGTAGGAACGTGGCCAGCTGAGGTGTAGCTGTGCAGAGCAGACAGTCTGAGGGGACGCTTGAGCGCTACTCGGATCTAGACTGAGGCTGAAGGTCCTGAGGCTTTCCCGGCCAGCTGGCACCAGGTGGGGGAGCAAGGACCACATGCCATTAAAGGCAGTTGAGCGTCAGGGGAGCTAAGACCGTGGCCCTGCAGACACTTCTGCACCACATCACCACCTGCAGAGAGTCTCTGCCTGTAGTTAGAATTCTGGGTTTGCTCATGATGGCAGTGCGGGTCTGAGAGTTGGGAGGCCTGTTCATTGGCTGTGAGAAGTCACTCTGACCTTCAGTTTCCACATCAGTGAAATGGGAACTTACCAGATTGTCATGCAGGTGCTTTGTCATCTGGGAGATAAAGGCCCACCCTTTTTCCATAAAGGCAGAGGACTTTTCACACCGTAAGCTCCCTTGACATGTGTCCACTTGCTTAGTTCTGTCTCACGATTGCTCTTCAGAATCTATGACGTGTTTGAATGAAGAAAAGCTTCAACAAGATTCTCCTGCTCAATGGCGCTGCCTTTGGTGCTGGTTTCACTAAACGGCCACATAAACCAGGACATAGTTGCTTTCTTGTCATGGGGACCCCATGCATGTCAGCAGAGAACTGTGCTCCATAGGGTTTTCAAGGGCTGATTTTTTCTGAGCCACCTTGCAGTAGACTCGAACTGCTAACCTTTTGGTTAGCAGCTGAGTGTGTTAACAGTTCGTACCACCCACTGAAGCCTCCACATTTCTTCGGCTTGTGTCTTGGGGAGACCCCTGGGCTCACATCACTGGTCCACCCCATCCAAGCCTGCGTGGTCACCCGCCTGTGGGTGACTCCACTGTGCTCATGCAGGCTTGACCCTGGGTTCTTTGGGCCCCAACGTCCCCTGGGAGTCCTGTCCCCCAGGTGAGCATGGAGGAGCAGCAGGCAGTCCCCCGATATTCTCTTCCTCTCATGGGGTCCTCACCCTCTGTCCTCACAGCTCCTGCCCCCATGGTGTTTGCCCCCTTCCCAGCAACCCTTGGGCCTGTGCAGGCTTTGGAGAGAAGAGCTAGAGGGGAAGTGGTCTTCTGGCCCCTCTGCCTTCCAAACAGCCTGAGGCCTAAGGGCCTGGCTCTGCTACCTTTCTGGGTGACGGGGTGGTGGAGGAAGGAGCGGGGAATGAGCTAAACACTAGTGAGGATCTCCATGGCGAGTCCTGCCCGTAAGTTTCTGATGTGGTTGCCAGCTGGGACTGCAGCTGGTGTTGGCAGGACCCACCTCTCTGTGTGATCTTGATCTCTTGCCTTGAAGGTGGTGAAGAACAAGTCTGTTGGCTTGGGCAGCCAGGCTGGCCCAGCCCAGGAGCCTTCCCCACCAGTCCCCTCACCCACCCCCAAGCCCAGGCCTGCAGGCCTCAATGGCACGGCGCTCCAGCCAGTCCTGGCCCTGGAAGACAGCTGTGTGTTTGGTGGGCTCCTCCCTGAGTGGGCTGGGGTGCATACCAGCCCTGCCTCCCATCCCTCCTGCACACTTCGATGGATGAAGTCATTCCTGGCACGGCTGCTGGCGTGGGTCCAGGGTAAAAATGCCGCGTGCAGAGCTCGCTGGTGCCAGGGAAATGGGTGACCTACATGAGTGACCTCTGGGAGCTGGGGTGTGGGGATGCAGGGAGCGCTGTGGGCTGGAGCAGCACTGTGCCCTGACCCCAGGTGGCCCCTTAAGGGAGAAGGGTCACCCAGGGAGGCCTGCTCCACCCAGCCTTCTTCGGGGTGCAGGGCTGGGTAGCATGGACTACCTTGTGGGAGGGTTAATTGGTGGGTTTCCCCTTGGGTTTGCATAGACATAGGTACTAACACTGGAGTTCCTGGATGGTACAAAGGTTAACGCTCTCAACTCCTAAGCAAAAGGTTGGAGGTTCGAGTCTACCCAGAGGCATCTCAGAAGAAAGGCCTGGTAATTAACTTCCAAAAAATCAGCCATTGAAACCCTATGGAGCACAGTTCTACTCTTGACACGTTTGGGGTACCACAGGTCAAAGTCCACTCAACGGTTACTGGTTTTTGAAAACTACTAATATCAATATCCAGCACTGAAAAGACGTAACTTGAACGAGGCTCTTTTCACAGGGTTTTCATAGAGCGTGTCATAGGTTTTCACACGTTAAGTCATTTAATCTCACAAGAAGCCAATGAGAGAGATGTACCATGTTATTCCCATGTTACAGATGAAGAAACTGAGGTTCAGAGTGGTTGTAATCTCAGGCCAGGATTTGAAACCAGCAGCCTGGCCCTGGGTCTGTGACCGTGGTGCCTCTGGGGCTTCTCCCTGTCTATGGTCTGAGGGGTAGTCCTCCTCTGCACAGCCTCCTAAAGTCAGTTTTAGTTCTTGAACCTCTTCTTCAGGATTCCTTTCTTCCTCCATGAGTTTGCTCACTCAGCAACTACCTGGTTTTTGGTTTTTTTGGGCGGGAGAGGAGAGGTGGGGCTGGTAATTCACAGCATGACCCAGGGCAGCGGAGATGAGTCCGAGTTCAGGGTCCGCAGTCCCAGGTGTAAATCCAGGCTCTGTCCTGGGTCACCCTCTGTCTTCAGCTTCAGTTTCCTCACCTGCTAAATGGGTGTCATGATTCCCACACCTTATTGGCTGGTGGCTAGCTCCGTCCCTGGCAGAGGAGGTGGTGAAGGAACCACTGTCTTCCACCCACCTGAATTCCACACTCCAGGCACCCCCGTCTCTTTCTTTTTGGAGGTGGCCAAACATGGGACTCGTGAGCTGCAGTTACAGGAGGGCTGGGCTAAGGCTTGGCTTTCTGGGTCTGGCCGTGTTGTTGAGGGCAGCTGCTCCTATTGAGCCGGTGAACAATGGCCAAAGGAACTCGGTAGGGAGGGAGAATGCTAGGGGGAAGAGAGGGAGGAGGGCCTAAAGGCGTCCCTCGTGGAATCAGGGAGACCCTTTGGTTGCCGCCTGGTTCTCCTCAGCCCGAGTTATTCTGGACCTGTCTTTATTTTGCCCCATTTCGTTTTGAGGAGTAGTTTGCGGCTCCTGGCTCTGCTGGGCCTTTGTAGGGCACTGGGGGGCCAGGGCTTCCTGGTTAGGCAGCTGCCCGGCAGGGGCTGGGTTGGTTGATTGAGGACTTCTTCAGGAAAGGCGAGGCAGCCCATCTGCTGGGTCTTGTGTCTTGGGTTCCTGGGATGCCTTGCTCCCACCTCCCATCCCTGCTGCTCAATGATCTATCATGCATCAAGTGCCCCCATGGACTTGCCATGTACCTATCGCAGGTGTGCTCCTCATGAAGCTGTCATGCACCTAGCACAGCTGTGCCCCCCATGGATTCGCCATGACCTAGCACAGGCGTGCCCCCCATGGATTAGCCATGCACCTAGCACAGGTGTGCCGCCATGGATTTGCCGTGTACCTAGCACAGATGTACACCGCACCGAGTCATTGCACTTCACTCCCGCAGAGCACCACACCGCCCAACTCGGAATGCAGGTGTGTATGATGAGTGGGTGCAGCTTCCACTGCTTGCCCCAGGGTGCAGCTCAGGATTCCTTCTCTGGGGCACGTGCTCCAGAACCGCCGCAGGCTGCCTTACCGAAAACAACAACAACAAAAACGCTAAATCCATCTCCTGCTCTCCCTCAGTCTCCCGCTCATAATGTTTCACAACAAGTGTGTGCTGCTGGCTTCTAGATGTGCTGAGACCCTGGCATGGTCTCCAGTCACTCATTTTCCTTGACATGCTGGGCATCAGTGTTAATTTACTCCCTACGCAAGAGCCCTGGTGGCGAAGTGGGTCAGTGCTTGACTGCAAACCGAAAGGTCAGCAGTTCGAACCCACCAACTGCTCCATGGGAAAAAGTGTGGCAGTCTGCTCCTATAAAAATTTACAGCCTTGGAAGCCCTATGGGGCAGTTCTACTCTGTCCTATAGGGTTGTTATGAGTTGGAATCAACGAGACAGCCGTAGGTTTGGTTTTGGGTTTTTGCTTATGATGTATTGATTAAAAAGGAAAAGTAACTGCTGTGAGTGGACTCCAACTTGTGGCATTCCCACGTGTGTCAGAATAAGAATTGTGCTCCAAAGGGTTTTCAGTGGCTGACTTTTCCTGAAGCAGATCGCCAGGACTTTCTTCCGAGGCATCTCTGGGTGGACTCAAATCTCCAACCTTCTGGTTATCAGCCAAGTGCTTTGGCTGTTGGCACCACCCAGGACTCCGTTTTGATTACTGTGGGTGGGAAAGGAAGTGCGGTCCTTGCCCCTGGAGAGGGGCATTTGTCCTGAACGTGGTTCCCACGAGACCTGGTGTTAGGAGTGGCCTGTCACCTGCTTGGTGTTCCACGATCTCTGTGTGTTTACCCATGTTGTTAAGTTAACCGAAGTCAGCAACAGCACCATTGTTTTTCCCAGGGCAAGCTGCCCGTCCTGCTGCTGGGCCGCTCCTCGGAGCTGCGGCCGGGGGAGTTTGTGGTCGCCATTGGAAGCCCCTTTTCCCTTCAAAACACGGTCACCACTGGGATTGTCAGCACGACCCAGCGAGGTGGCAAGGAGCTTGGACTTCGGAACTCAGACATGGACTACATCCAGACAGATGCCATTATCAACGTGAGCCTCTGCCGCTGAGCCGGGCTGGGAAGCGGGGTGGAGGCAGGGTGCCCGTGGTGTGGTCAGAGGGCGTCAGAGGGAACTCTAAAGCAGATGAGGCCAAGCGCCGGTCCTCAACCCGCTAGCGATCACCAGGGGCTCCTTTAAAGGGGACCTTGAGATTTTTCCAGTGCTTTGCAGCCGGGAGGAGCACCCCACCCCACCGCGAGTGGGGTCAGTGGCTGCTCTGCCCATAGCTCCCTGGGGCACATTTGAGGACTTTTGGAGCCACCACCTGAGTTGCTTTTGCAGCTTTCTGAAGGAGGGAAGCTCACCTTGGCACGGGCTCAGCAGACCCGGGAAGGTGTGAGCCCCACCCTCTCCCATCTGCTTTTCTTTCCAACAAGTGACCGGCCGCCCCCAGAGGCACAGTCAGAGCACTGGGCTCAGCCATCTGACCTGCCTAATGAGCCAGGGATTGCTGCTTGTGATTTCATAAACAGAATCTATTCAAAATTACATTTTTCCACTTCAGCTGTCTCCCTATAGAATGGACGTTTTTTGAATAGCAGTGTGTTTTTCCCCACATCTGTTCAATAAATAAGATCGGCAGTGGGTTTTGTGCTCCCTGTGAGCTGCACTGCTGGTTCATGAAGTAATGGAAACGGAGCCGACCACGTGGATTCAAACCCAGCAGCAAAGCAGAGGTCACCCAGATCGGGGCCGGTTTGAAACACTGTGATACCAGAGCGAGTGTGGGTGAGGGAAGGGGCATTGGTGATTTAGTTGTAGGATTTTCCAAGTGGGAGATCTGGGTTTGATTCCTGGCAAATGCATCTCATGTATAGCTGCCACCTGTCTGTCACTGAAGGCTTTCATGTTGCCATGATGCTGAACAGGTTTCAGCAGAGCTTCCAGATTGAGGCAGACTAGGAAAAAAGTCCTGGTGATTTACTTCAGAAAATCAGCCAATGAAAACCGTATGAATCACAATGGTACGGTCCCGTCATGCATGGGGTCGCCATGAGTTGGAGGCCAGCCCAATGGCAGCGAACAATCACAAAAGAGCAAGCAGGCAGCCACCCCTATTCCCAACATCCTTTTAACAAGAGGGAGAAGTTGTGATGGGTGCTGCAGAGGGTCTATAGTCAGCCTCTGGGTTTTGTAGCAAAAAAAAAAAAAAAAAAATCCCACTTATGGAACATTCACAACTTAACTGCAAACTGTTAAGGTCCCTTTTTTCCAGCAAAATATTAGGTTGAGAGGAAGGAATCTCCAGAAAGAATCTACCCCATAATCCAGGCACCATGCTTAGGAAACTACCAGGCCAGGGAGTAGCTCGTCTGACTGTGTTAAGGATGTAAGCCCATAACCTTTTTAATTTCTGCTTCATTTCAGTATGGAAACTCGGGAGGCCCATTGGTAAACCTGGTAAGGCCTTGCCTTTAACACTCACGTGATTCGGTGTTTGTTTGCGTCTGTGTGCATGCTGGGCTGTCTCTTTTTTTGTCTTATTCTTTTCACACGTGAGCTTGCCAGAGCACGCTAATTCTTTTAGAATGCACTCCGTGAATGGACTGTGTCCTTGCAAATTACCCGTGTGGATTTTCCTGGACCTAGTGAGGCAGGCAGGAATAGAGGCCTGGAAAGGCTCTCTGCCAGTGGACACGCTTAGGTTTCAGAGTTCCAGGTCAGTGCATAGGACCCAGGTAGAGCCAGGAGTAGCGGAGGGAGCCGGCCTCCGTTTTGGAGGTGTCAGGAGTGCTGCTGGCCAGTCACAGAAAGGCACGGCCTTCAAGCTGAGTCTCCAGGGCGGCCTGAGGAGCTGCGTTGGCTCAGCCACGCTCTTTCTCTTGCCCAGGAACCTCCCTTCAGGCTGGCTGGAATGAAGAACTTGAGTCTGCACTCAAATATTTAAAGAGAAAATCTGAAGCTGTTCAAGCTGGAGGGCAGTGCAGGGGCTCCCCATTCTGCCGTCTCATTTCCAGAGGATAAAACAGAGGCATCTTTAGCAAGGCCCATGCTGGCCTCGGTTGTAAGAGGCAATGCCTCTTTGAATGTCCCTCGTATTCCAGAACCGAATCTCGGTGCCTTCGGGAACCGTGAAGAGCGATTTACACCCTCTTGGCAGCCGCCCTGTCTCTAAGCGCGAGTTGAACAAACAGTGTAACAATAGCATGCAGACCGATAGCATGAGGGGTGTGAGATGTTCAGGGCTGCGTCCTATAGTGTAGCCACCACTTAGCTGCGAATTTGTCTGGAATCAAAGGACACCCTGCAGACGCGCTTCCTCCGATTTTAAAGCCAGTTTGTGACAAGCACAGGAAGCCTGGTGGGCTGGCGCTCCCTGCTTGGTGCCCTCTGGCCCAGACCCCCGCAGTGCCCACAGGGGCTGCCGCTAAGAGGAGATTGCATTTCCTGGCAAAGGAAGCACGTTAGCCCTGAGTTCCCAGTATCAGCAGAGCAATCTTAAGATCATGGAAGATGGGAGAAGCAGGAAGGGTGGGCAGCCAACTAAAGGACTATGTTTGGGGACCTCACAAAGATTTTGGAAACATACAGAGCCCTGGTGGCACAATGGTTAAGCGCTCAGTGCTAATAACTGAAAGGTTGGCAATTCAAATCCACCGAACTGCTCTGCTGGAGGAAGACCTGATGATCTGCTCCCATAAGATTACAGCCTAGAAAACCCTCTGGAGCAGTTCTGCTCTGTCTCGTTGGGTCACTATGAGTTGAAAATCAACTCGATGGCACCTAACAACATTCCCTCTGAAAGGAGCAAATAGTCTGTGTCTTAAAAATACCTGTTGGATGCTGTGCTTACAGCGAGGTGGGTCGGTTCTGCGGTGGTGGAGCACGGCTCTTCCTGCCAAGTGTCCCGGTGCCTCCCCCGTCCTACCCAGCCCGCTGTCTGGCTCCAGCTCCCGCCTGTGCTCTAATGTGGCACAAAGAAGTCCCTCAGATTCTTCCTTCTCCTTTGGTATGTTGGTGCGTATCTTCCGGAGGGCTTTGTGGATGCAGTAAACCATGTCTCCTCTTGCCTTTCAGGATGGTGAAGTGATCGGGATTAACACTCTGAAAGTGACTGCTGGAATCTCCTTTGCAATCCCGTCAGATAAAATCAAAAAGTTCCTCACTGAGTCCCATGACAGACAGGCCAAAGGTAAAGCGGGGGCCAGACAGCTGCACTAGGGCATCAGGCCTGAGCCTCGGCTGCACCTCAGGGACTTGGGGCAGGGAAAAATGACAAACCCTAAGACCAGCCAAGCCGTTTCCTATGAAGAAGGGAAAGGACATGCATTATTAAACCCTTGGTAGTAGGTGGTAAATATTTGACCATTTTTGACCTACGGTCATTGAAGTTTTTATTTAATACGTGCCAGGTGATGTAGTAGTTAAGTGCTACGGCTGCTAACCAAAAGGTCGGCAGTTCAGATCTACCAGGTGCTCCTTGGGAACTCTATGGGGCAGTTCTACTCTGTCCTATAGGGTCGCTTTGAGTGGGAACTGGCTTGATGGCAATAGGTTTGGTTTTTTTTTTTTTTTTGGTTTAGGCACGGTCTTAGATATGTAGATTTCTACATATTATTTCACTTAATTATTCTTTCTGTCCTATCGGGAATTATTGGTCCCGTTTTACCAATGAGGAAACAGACTCAGAGAAACCGTTCTTTCCCAGGATTTATTGAGCATCCACTCTGGGCCAGGTGGGGGTTCAGCAGTGGGCAGGACAACTAGTCCCTTGCACATGTGACATTTATGTTCCACCCTGAGGGACAGACAGTAAACAAGTGAGCAAATGAGGTCATTTCAGATAGCAACAGTGAAGCATGATTGGGCTAGGGAGTGATGGGAGGGCAGCTAGTGGAGACAGGGTGACCGGGGAAGGCCCCCAACGCTAAGACCTGGAGGGGATGGAGCCAGAAGGCTGGGATGCGGGGAGGGCTTTCCAGGCAGAGGGACGCAGAGTCAGAACCTCCATGTGGGAAGCACCAGCGAGCATGCCTTTCTATAGGTGGGGGTGGGAAAGTTGGCCAGGGCCGGAGGAGTGAGGGCCACAGTGGACTGAGGTAAGGGGTGTGGGCTGCTTTTTAACTGTAATGAGATCTGATGGATGTCTTTGAAGGGTCACTGTGGAGGCTGAGTGGAGAGTACACCAGAGGGGGTGGGCGGGATGCCAGTTAAGAGGTTCTCCTAGTCATCCAGACGAGAGATGCCAGTGGTTGAGACTTGGGTGGTGGCCACGGAGGTGGAGCGAAGGGGTCACATTCCAGCTACATGGGGGATGGAACCTGCATGGGGATGGATCAAAAGTCAGGTGAGGTATGGAGGAATCGAGGACCGCTCGTAGGATCTGAGCCATTAACTGAAGTGACGGGAATTTCCCGAGGTGGGTAGGGGTCAGGACTAAGATTCGAACCACAACCTGTGTTTTCCCCTATGGCTCTGACTTTACACTAGAGGGAGACTGAACACCATGACTCTCAGATATCCCTGTCACCCCTGCCAACTCTGCTGTCCGTTGTCCCTTTGTTGTCACACCAGGTAAAGCCGTCACCAAGAAGAAATACATCGGTATCCGCATGATGTCGCTCACATCCAGGTGGGTAAACAGGGCGTGCGGATCTGTGTGTGTGTCTCTGCTTTTCAGTTTAAATAAACTTGAACTTCAGAAGGCTCTCACTGGCACCCCCGAAAGAGAAATCTTAAAATTCACCATTTTCACCATTTTAAAGTGTACCCTTCCGTACATTCACAATGTTGTATAACCATCACCACTGTGCAATTCCAAAACATTTTCATCACCCCAGAAGAAAACCCAGTGCCCATTAGCAGTCACTCCACGTTTCCCTTCCCCGCTCTGCCCCTGGTAACTATGAATCCACTTCCTGTCTCTATAGATTGATCTCTTCTGGATATTTCATTTAAATGGAATCATGCACTATTTGACCTCCTGGGTCTGGCTTCTTTCACTCAGCATAGTGTTTCCCAGACTGATTCATACTGTAGTGTGTATCAGTACGTCATTCCGTTTTATGATTGAATAATATTTCATGGTATGACTATGCCATATTTTGTTTATCCATTTGTCCTTTAATGAACATTCGGGCTGCGGCGCTAGGAATGTCCGGTCAGCTCCATCTGAGGAAGGATGATTTGTTTACCTGAGTTGGTGGAAGTTGCAACATGTGGTTGACAGGGTCATAAAATACTGGTGTTTCCCCCTTGATAAAAAAGTCTGGTGTAACCTCATGAGTCCTGGTAACTGAGGGCATAGTGGAAACTGTTGTGGGTGAAGCAGAGAAAGAGAAGGACATGGTATAATACGTATATTGATGTGTTTTGGATACATGAATGGTGGTACCTTCTGAGGGGGAATGATTTGTCAAGACTAAAATGTGTGTTGTTATTTGTGTTTGGGAACAAGACAGACAGAGGTGTAGGGGCGTACAGGCCCTGGGGTCCATCTTCCTGGGTTCTTGTCCCAGCTCTGCTACTTCCTGGCTTGTGACCTTGGGAAACCCTTGAACTCTGAGTGCTTCAGTTTTCTCCCCCACCTTGGGATGAGGATAACGAGGCAGGCGTTTTGGTGTGTGGGGAGGACTGGGTGAATTCATGGACATCAAGGCTTGGATCAGTGAGGCATGACAATGATTGATGGCCACCGATTGTCACGTGGTTACTCTGCGCCAAGCACTGGGCCAGGCGTCTTACCTCGATCACCGCGTTAACCCTAACACACCCCGTATTGTAGGGTAGTGCTATTCTCCCCATCTGGCAGGTGAGGAAACTAAGGCACAGAGGTTACACAGCTAGAAATGGGCAGAGCTGGGACTCTGAACAGGGCCAGTCACTGTACTGTACTGAGCCCGTCAGTGGTAGCTATAATTAATTAATGACGGAAACGAATGGTAAAGCATTTCTCTTGTTGCTACCCTGTCAATCGTTGACTCTAGTAGCCGGGCAATGTTAAAGCAGAGTCCAAACTCCTGGAGGAATTTTACGTTAGAACTAGGGACCAGCAGGGAAGCTGGGTGAGAGTTCCCCAAGGTCGAGCCGAGGAAGGCACGTTGCTGTTTCACGATAACCTGGCACTATTTCTCCCGAGCAGCAAGGCCAAAGAGCTGAAGGACCGCCACCGAGACTTCCCAGATGTGCTCTCGGGAGCGTATATCATTGAAGTAATTCCTGATACCCCAGCAGAAGCGTGAGTTCGAATGATATTCCCTTTTCCTAATAACCTCGTGGTTCCCGGGGGTAGTGTGCTGGGGAGCAGTGTTAATTTTATATCTGCTCAGGGGATTGTATTGATCCTTGATAAAAGTGGCAGGACATCCCTGGTCAAGTCCTGCTGGCCAGGCCTCCGGACCTGGTTCAGTTCAGGCCCCGTCAACAAAAGGGTGCTTCCTGTCCTCAAAAGTCCTCTCTTCACTGGGGTCGTCCAGATGGAAAGAGCAGTATCAGACTCATTGTGAGTCTCTGGGACATGCTGGCTGGGGTTTAAGAGAGTTTGAGGAGCAGGGTCCCTGCAGCCTTGGAGAATTGGTCCCGTTCCAGGGTTTGGATCCAGCTTTAGGATGCAGCTCCTGAAGTCTTCTCTAATTATGTTGATATCAGGCCATACCTGTCAATACCTCTTAGAAAAACAACCCAAGTAACATCAAAGTAACACCGAAAGAAGTAGTTCGGCCAACAATCGGTGTTTGTAACCCATATTGACGTAATATGCAGATAGTAGTGCTAGACTGGAGTCCCTGGGCGGCACAAGCAGTTAACACACTTGGCTGCTAACCCAAAGGTTGGAAGTTCGAGTCTGCCATAGGCACCTCGGAAGAAAGGCGTAGCGATCTACTTTCAAAAAAATCAGCCATTGGAAACCTCATGGAGCACAGTTCTACTCTGACACACATGGGGTTGCTGGGTTGGAATCGACTCAATGGCAACTAGTTAGCAGGTTAGTGCTAGACCAGAGGTTCACACGTTATTCTCTGGGGGCTGGATCCTGCCCACCACCTAGTTTTGTACAGCTTGCAAACTAAGAATTGTTTTCACATTTTTAAATAGTTGGAGAAAAAAAAAAAAAGAAGAAGAGTATTTTGTGATATATGAAAATGATATGAAATTCAAATTTCAGTGTCCATAAATAAAGTTTTATTGGCACACAGCCACGCCCATTTGTTTACATGTTATCTCTGCCTGCTTTTATGTTACAGCGGCGGAGCTGAGTACTTGTAGCAGAGACCTTATGGCCTGTGAAGGCTCAGCTGTTTACTCTCTGGCCCTTGACAGAAAAAGTGTGCTGACCCCTGTCCTAGACCATTAAGATCATGGCAGCGTAGCTGATGCCGTCATACACAAGAGCTGAATTTCCAACGCAGTGTTAGGGAGGAAGTGTCTCATGATAGACACATCCCGCCCATTCCTGTAGGAACTGCCCTCTGAGTACGTATCATTACAAGCAAGTTGGCCGTCCCCATGCCAGCCTGGTACATCCTTGCCCTCTTAGGGGCTGAATCTGTCGTTAGCCCATATGGGTGCTGGTAGGCATTTCCGCAGTGGACACGATGATTTTTACCTAAATATCTCAAAAGGAAATGCAACCCACTGTGAACTGGTTGAAACCATTCTCATGTACCTTCACCACCACCCCCACCCTGTCTGCTCTGGGCTCGTAGGTTCTAAACGGCCTCTGTTGATAAAGTTGATCACCTTTCCTGGCAGGTAGGGTGGGAGGAATCGAAACATTACAATCGTGTTTCTTTTTATGTTGTAGTGGTGGCCTCAAGGAAAACGATGTCATAATCAGTATCAATGGACAGTCAGTGGACTCTGCCAATGACGTCAGCGACATCATTAAAAAGGAAAGCACTCTGAACATGGTGGTCCGCAGGGGCAATGAAGACATTATGATTACAGTGATTCCCGAAGAAATTGACCCGTAGGCAGAGGCATGAGCTGGACTTCATGTTTCCCTCAAAGACCCTCCAGTGGACGACGCGTGAAGACTCTGGGCTGGTGGCACAGGACACCCAAGACTTTTGACCACCATTTTGCTTGTTCATTGGAGACGTTCTCAACAGAATCCCTTCTTGGTAGTTTGCGGGCAAAACAAATGTAATGCTGCAGCTCCGCTGGCCGAAACTCTCTCCTTCTGTAGCCTATGTATGCAGTGTGCTTTTCTCGCCAGCTTGGTCTGCTCCTGCTTAGACGGTCAACCTTTGTCTCCTCCTTTAACCCAGGCATCGTCTTAGTCCAACTAATGCAATTGATATGAGACGTGGGTAAGAGGAAGGGCCCACGGGAGCCGGAATGGTACTGGGCATGTTTCTGCGTTTCCCAGAGTCGGCACTGAGAGGAGATTGATGCATGGAGACCCTGGGCTGGCTTCCAATGAGGTCAAAGTTGCCTCTTTCAAGAATCTCTTCAGAATCAAGGAGCACGATGACCTTTGAGTTTGAGCTATTAAAATACTTCTTCATACATTGTCTCCTGACGTGCTTCCTTTCCTTTACAGTCAACACCTGGTTGCGGGTTGTTTTTTTTGTTTAAATCGTATTTTATTGCGTTTTCGGTGAAAGTTTACGCAGCAAATTGGGTTTCCATTTAACAATTACTACAGAAATTGTTCAGTGACATTGGGTACATTTTTCACAATGTGCCAACATTCTCATTAATTCCTTTCTGGATGTTTCATTTCCAGTAATCTGGCTTGCCTGTCCCCTTACCCTTTCATCTTTACAATAATTGTTGACCCTTTGGTCTCATATAGAGGATTTAAAAGTGCCCCGTGCTCACTGGTAATATTCTTTATTTTATGAGTCAATCTGTTATTTAGCTAAAAGGTGACCTCGGGGGATAGTTTTGGTTGGTTGCATTCTTTTTGAAATGATTCTAATGCCCACCATCCCCTCATTAAACCACATTGCCTATGCAGGGCTGAGCTCTTAGTCTTGCCGGTTATTTCAAAATCATCCCATGGACCTTACCCGTGATAGTAACAACTGTGCTTGGCCACCCCGGCTTCATAAGATAAGATTTGAGGATAGGTGCCCTTGAATCTGTCCCCGGGCATTATAAACAGTTAACACACTCAGTGGCTAACCAAAGGTTGGAGGCTGTAGTTCACCCAGAGGTGGCTTGGAAGAAAGGCCTGGTAATCTACTTTTGCAAAATCAGCCATTGATAACCCTGCGGAGCTCAGTTCTGTTCTGACATACATGGGGTCATCGTGAATTGGCGTCTACTCCGTGGCAACTGGTTTGGCACTTGCATCTGGAACTTTTTAGATTAAAGAGAATGGTCGACCCTATACATCATGCACTCAGTCAACAAAGAGTCCCTGGGCCCCTGCTCTGAGCTTCGTGCTGAGTGTCGAGGGGTCAAGGCAGAGCTGGACAGACAGCAAGCTTCAGTCAACACGCCAGGCCTCTTTCTGAAAGGGAGACAGTTCAGGCAACCAGGATGCAGTCCAAGGACTGTCCTGTTCTAATTGCCCAGAATGCACAGGCCAGAGTTGATCTCAATTGCCCTGGGCGCTAACACAAGAGCAAGTCCTTCTGCCTTGGGGATTTAGAGCAGGGCTCCCCTCAATTTGTCCTCCAACAGGTGCACTTAAACAGCTGTGAGCACCTCTGTCTCCACAAAAGCCTTCCAGGAGTTTGGGGAGCTGGGCCCAAGAAGAGTGCTGGAAAACTTCAGCTTGGAAGTTGGCACAGGCCTGGGTCCCCGCGGGGAGCACCCCTGAGAGAGGAGGTTGTTTACACCAAGAGCAGAGAGTCAAAGGCTTGTTTGCTTTTTTTAAAAAATTGTTTATTGTGCTTCAGGTGGAAGTTTATGGGGCAAATTAGTTTCCCCCCAAAGTTTCTTACCGTCAGCGGTCAAGAGGAGGGCCTTGGAAAGGGTGGAAGTTTCGTTCTCAAGACTGAGCTTAATCCTTCCTCGATCAATAGATCTCTAAGGCCCAATTGTAAGTGGAGAGGCTTGGAAGGCCAAAGGCCCACGTTAAATGTGTTGTTACCTGCCACTGAGTTGGTCCCTGACTCACGGTGACACATACACAGCGGAAGGAAACGCTGCCTGCTCGTGCGCCATCCCCATGATCAGTTACAAATCAGACCGTTGTGATCCATAGGGTTTTCACTGGCTGATTTTTGGGAGATTGCCAGGCCTTTCTTCTTAGTCCTTAGTCTGGAAGCTCTCCTGAAACCTGTTCAGTATCAGCAACACGCAAGCCTCCAGGGACAGACAGGTGGTGTCTGTGCATGAAGTGGATTGGCCGGGAGTTGAACCTGGGTCTCTGGCATGGGAGGAAAGAATTCTACCACCGAACCACAAATGTCAGGTTAGCGTGGGGGCAATCAGGTTAAGCCAAGCCCTCAACCACGTTGACCCTCGGCAGCTGAGCAGCCTGTGGCCCTGCTGAGACTCCGTTGCCTCGCTTTGCTCTTGGTGACTTCACTGCAGTCAGGATGGAGCCAGAAGTCCTTCCGGTCTTGGAGTGTGTTTTGCATTCCTTCCCTGCCTGTTGAAGGTGATGATGCATAGCATGGTGGGTGGCTTGGGGCTCTATCCTCAGTTGTTTTCCATCTGGGCCTGCTGCCCCAGGTGCGGCCGCAGGTGGGCAGGATGTGCTGGGTGGCGGCAGGGTCAGAGGCGTCCTCCATCTTCATCCTGTCAGATGTTCAGGGGATCACAGATGATTCCCCTGGAAAGAATGTGCCTGCCGAGCGCCCAGCCCCGTTCTCTGAACACTCAGCAACATCTCCCCGCAGGCCTGGAGGACTCGGGTGGGTCAGAGTTTGCCCTGCAGGTGTGGTCACGTACAGGGCCACAGAATGGCAGCATGGCACGTTGGCACATTACGTGTTTGGCTGCTTGGCTTCCCTGATCCGGGGACCCTGTGACCTGTAGGGGCTGCTCCTGCCTGCACCCCCGTACACACGTGTAGGTTTTCTTGGAACCTGTCAGGACTGTTGTTTCTTCTGCCTGCTTTGGGCATTGAGCCAGGTTTTTGTAACATAAATCAGCGTTAAAACTTGGGGTGCAGAGCCCTGAGTTGAAGGAGCATGGGTTTTGGAGCCAGATGGATTTGGGTTCAAATCCAACTATTTGCATCTTACTGGCTGTGTGACTTTGAGCAAGTTACCTACCCTCTCTGTCTCTGTTTTCCATCTGTAAAATGAGGATAATAATAGTACTTACTTCCTAGGACTGGTGTAGGGATTACATGATGTCTTAGTCATCTAGTGTTGCTATAACAGAAATACCGCAAGTGGATGGCTTTAACAAAGAAGTTTATTCTCTCACAGTCTAGTAGGCTAGAAGTCCAAATTCAGGGTGTCAGCTCCAGGGGAATGTTATCTCCATTTGCTCTGAAGGAAGGTCCGTGTCATCAATCTTCCCTTGGTCTGGGAGCTTCTCTGCACGGGAACCTCAGGTCCAAAGACGTGTTCTGCTGCCGGCACGGCTTTCTTGGTGGTGTGAGGTTCCCGTGTGTCTCTCTTTTATATCTCAAAAAGATTGGCTTAAGACACTATCCAATCTTGTATATCTCATCAGTATAACTGCCGCTAATCCATCTTATTATGTCATAGTAATAGAGTTTACAACACATAAGGAAATCACATCAGATTACAAAATGGTACACCATCATACACTACTGGGAATCATGACCCAGCCAAGTTGATACACACATTTATGGTGGGGGGGGAGACACAATTCAATCCATGATGCATGAGTTAGTACATGGCAAATGGTAAGGCCTCAATAAATATAAACAGCATATGTGTTCATGCCATTGAGCCTCAGTTTCCTCCTATGTAAAATGGGGAATAATAATAATAATATCTCCCTTGCACGGGTACTGTGAGGGTTAGCAATGATGGCACTCGTGGACCCAGCTGCCTTTTATATTGTTACCACCCTGCTGTTGTTTGGCCTTTAGTTATGGTCACACTAGCTCACGTCTGTTGGGGGTGTGCATGGCAGACACCAATTTTACATCCATTAGCTCTAATTCTCAAATCAGCCCTGAGGTGGATGATACTATATTTATCCCCTTTGACAAATGAAGACTTTGACGCTCAGAAATCAAGTATCTTGCTCAAGTTTTCAGTAGTAAGTAGGGAGCTGGGACTCAAGCCCAGGAAGTCTGACCCCATGGCCTTTCCGTGGTGCCCCAGGCCCCCTCTTGACCGTTTTAGGACAAAGACCCCTGAGTCCCCTCCATCCCTTGCCCCGATCTGGGTTCATCTCCACTTCTCTGGGGGTGATTATGGGGCCTGGGGACTCACGGCCACTCAGCTTGGTGTCAGGGTCCTCCTGGCCCTCTCAGGCCCCTCTGTGGTCACTTTAAGAGCCCAGCTGGCTGGTAGGTCCCGGCTGCCCCGTGCTGTGTCTCCTTGGAAACTCCCCGATGCTTCCTCCAATCTCCGCTGCCTCTGCTCCACATCTCTTCCTCCAGCTTTTGTGAAACCATGAGCAACTCCAGCCACATCGGTGGGGCTTTGCCAGGGCATTTGCAATGCTTGACCCATTTCTGCCCAGCTCTGCCGGATGCTTCTCTGCATGCTAGGCGAGAAGAGCGGCTGTGTGCAGGGCTCCTTGTCCTGCCTGCCTGGCCCACCTTCAGGGTGCTGTGCGGGCAGCTCTGTGCCGGATCCTGCTCTTTCCTGGCCCCATTTCTCTGTCTGAGGACTTGCAGAGTGCTCATGTCTGGTGGGTGTGGTGCAGAGCAGCACGTATTTTTATTCCAACACAGATGAACTCGCACAGTGTGTGTCTCCGCCTGGTTAACACTTTAGACGGGCTGAGCTTGGCCTTGGATGTTGTGAATGGCCAGCACGGTGCTTGGTCCAGTCTGGCAAAGGCCACTGAAGCCCAGGCTGAGCCTTGCTGAGGTTGTGCAGAAGGGGACATATGTCTGGGTGAATGGTCCAGTCCAAGTTCAATGTGACTCTGAAGGCTGGCTTCTCTTCTGAAGGTGGTTACAGGTCAGGCCAGAGTGGTTTACATCCTGGCTGTCCTGCCAGTGCTGATCCGCTGGTGGGGACTGCCTGGAGCATCAAGGCCCAGGGTGGTGCAAATGGTTAAGTGCTCAGCTGCTAACCAAAAGGTTGATGGCTCGAACCCACCCAGAGATGCTTCAGAAGAAAGGCCTAGTTATCTGCTTCCCCAAAAATTCAGCCATGGAAAACACCATGGAGCACAGTTCTACTCTGCAGCACATGGAAAGGCCATGAGTCCGAATCAGGTTTGGGCTTCTGGTTTTTGCCTGGAGCACTGTGCTGAGAAGGACTGCCGAGGTCAGTGCGGGATGGACAGTGTCTGACCTGGCTAGGCTGGGGGCTTCCACCCTGTGGAGAAACCCGGTGTGTGAACAGCCTGGGCCTCCGCTGACCCAGCCCACCACCATCTCTTCCCCTCCTCCCGCGGGCCTGCCCTCTGCTAGCACTCGAGATACAGGAAGAGGGAGACGTTGCCTGCC